ATTAATAAAAACAGTCGGTTTATTCATTATCATTCGAAGAATCTTCTCAAATGTTTTCGTTATCTGCAAACGAGGCTGACGTGTAATATTGGAAAATTACCTGCCAGTCGAAGAGAAACCAATCAGTATAAGAGGAGTGACCGCAACATTGCAACACAAATTGAATCTCGTCAATCGCGTATTTATGTGACGCAGCAGTGGCATACAGATGCATGGAAGCGTTGAAAATATCGATTAAAGTTTCTTGTCTTACACTGATGTGATATCCTATCAAAGCTAATGTCGTTGTGTTCATAGCAATACATGTAATTATCATTATCAAAAGACACTTTAGCACCTGCCTAGTCTTTGAATGAAGATTCGATTTGCGCCTGCAAGAACGTATCCATCACAAATTATACGCAAAAAAATGTTAAAAAGAGTAATAAAAATTGTTGTAATAAAAAAATCTAATTAGTTAATATAATTTTATTTTTATTTCTAATTATTATTAATTAATATAATTTTATATAATTAACAATATAATATAAAGTAACATATTTTATATCTTATGTGATCAATAATATAATAATTAATAAACGATTGCGATACGTAATTGTTTTTCTGATTGATTCATCTTCAACATACAACTCGAAGGTATTTATATTTTAACTATAACCTGTGCTTTTTGTGTATTATCTTTGACTTTCTAATCGAAGAAGGATCAATTAGAAAAACAATTATATATTATCGTAGAGATTTTTTAATCACATTATTAATAAATATGTTATATTTTCAAGCGCACGTCTCACTCATTCATTCATCCTTGCGAGTAGACGAGCATTACCTGCGTATAGCGCGTACGGTGATAAGGGCGCACGGCAATCCCAGAGCCACGTCTACCAAGGCAAGGACGACCGGCTGGAAGCCACCTGCGATACGGATCACCTGCCATTCCGCAAATATCTCCAAGGCGATCACGAGGAGACGCTTCGCCTCGAAGATGGCCAGCGTGAAAGCTACGCCGTAACCGAACTTTACCTCCCATTCGCAGGTGCAACGTACTCTTTTGCGGTAAACCAGGCTGTGACCGTTTTCTGTCATTCAATGGTTGCACGACGCCGCGCCTATTTTTATTTTATGGATAATTCCGTTTTGTTATGTTATTTTTTCTCCCTCTAAGTGTCTCGCGTGTAAAATAATAGCTACAAAACGTACCTAAAAAATTCAAATATAATTAGATACGTTCAGACAGAGTGAATTATTACTGTATCGACGAAATAATTTTTAAGTTAATTATTAATCAAGTTAACTGAAAACATTCTGGAAAATTTATGGCATTTAATATAATTTTATATATACATTGTTCCTGCTATATTGTAAAATTTGTCTACAACTAGACACGTGTAACATTTTATATGTGTATTTAACTGAAAAAACAAGACTCCTGTGTGTAAATAAATAGTAATTGTTTAAAATTAACAATTACGAAATGATATTCTTTTATTCCACTGCTTGTCACTATTTGACGCTGATACCTTTGTACATGACATTATTTTGCAATGTCGAATTGTCACGGACGCATTGCAACTGCCGCATGTACACCGTTTATTACTCATCATTGTTACACATACCGGAAGAGGTATGTAAAGAAAAAAATTGTTTTGACGAGATACAATTACACGCGAAGGGGCTATAATTGACGTGTCGTGCAAATAGGTCGCGTTTGCATGTATATATATTACACGTGTCCTAAAGTCATTACCACACAATTGCGTAAATTATATACCATACATTCGTCTCAAAATATTGTCTAGAAATACTGCTTATTGATAGCGAGAAATTTCCATTTCTGATAAGCCTCATTTGTATATTTAATCATGATTTTATCAATTAATAAATATTTGTCAATAATTTAAAAAATGATTCAACATAATACAAAGGAGGAGAATTTAAAAATAGAGAAATAAAACAATTCCCGGTAGAAATAAAACGATTAAGAAAAAAGTTGTATTCTCCTTTTTAATATTATATAATAATAATATCATTATCCTTTATTACATCAATTATTATACAAGGATTATACAATTTAAAAAAGAAATCTATTTTTTACTTAATACAAAAAATAATATATCGAAGTATGATATGTAGAATTGTGTATGCAGATTTAGACTTAATTATAATATTTCGCTCAATATATCACATTTTAATACTTTATTAATGTTTAATGTTGAACAACATGAATTGAATAATCAGCGTAGCGATTGAAAGTCAAGATAAATTATGAAATTATTTAAGACAATTGATCTTCTGTTCTTTAAGAACATTCAGATAAAAACTTACCGATAAACATCGTGCACTAAAATGAGATAATGTCTTGAATCTTCAAATTGAATTTGTATGTTGTTTTGGTTATGATTATATTCATATAAAATATAATAAAATGTATAACGTGAAGATCACGTCTATAAGGTGATGCGCACTACATTGTCGCTTGGTCGATATCTCGAGATTAAAAAAGATGCAAAATGTGAATATTACATAAAATATTAATTAATTTATTGTTCGATTTACAGCTAAAATACATGTATAAATAGAATATTTTGAATCTATTAAAGTACTTATAGTATGATTTCAGAAGTTTAAGCAAACTTATGATGAATAATAATGAGAATGTATAAATGTATCTCGTATTAACACGTTTCATGCATGCTGGGCGAATTTGAAGTGACGTCGCGTATTTGTTAGATAATATATATTTTATAACAAGTTTTAGATTTTACAAAATAGAATATATATATGTGCATTTCCAAGTTATACAGAATGTAAATTAAACAAATGTAAATTTAACAATATGTTTTGTAAATAAAAATATCATGTATATAATTTACATTTTTACTTACAAAAATATTGTTATAATAGAATTGTTTAATTTACATTTTGTATATAAATTAAATTATTAAATATGTCATCATAATTTCCATCTGAATTTTTAGTAAATTAGAAATATGCCAAAAATTTTTTATTATCTATTACTCCAGGGTATTATTATATCCTAATTTCACAAAAATCCTGACGTGGTACGCAAATTTTGACGACGGTATCTATTACTTAATAAATAATCGTCGTTATTTAACTTTTCCCTTAGATGTTCGCAGTTTCTCCATTCTCTCCTCTTAACATTATTATTAATATATTCCTAAATAGAATAATCTTAATATTTAAATTAATTTCTCACATCAACGTATTTAAAAAACTTATCCATGGATCGTTTTTTTATTTATATAACGCATGCTATTACAACTTTTTATATCTATAACAAAATCAAATATATTAATTTTTTAAAGGAACACATAGATATTGATTGATTTTTTCAAAGTTTTTCTTTTACAGTAATCACTTTTATAACTTTCATTAGAATACTAGCAAATATACACAGACTATATCTAATTTTTAGTTTTTGATTAGTGATATCTTTTTACTTCAGTCGTTATTTTTTTTATAACCAATGTGAATACAGCAACTAGTAGTCCATACACTTATTAATACTTATTATACATATAATCAATGATCAATACGATTAGAAGACTGCCTTGTTATACTTTAACTTTACATAACTCAAAATGGGTACAGCCGAAAAAATATTAAATAGCAAAAAGATACTTATATTGATTCAAATATACTTATATATATGTATATATATTTATATGAATATATAATATATTCGTGTAATAATCCGCTCAAGTTTAAGTAGAATCAAGAAATATGCTTATATAATTAAATGCTAAAATGTACTTCAAAATGTTTCAAAACGCTTAAGAATAAAAATGCCTTATAATAAATACCGCATATAATAATAAGGCTATTGTGTATTGGCGTATTAATATCATTATGTATAACGCCAAAATATGCTTATAAGGCGCATGTTACGTGACATATAAATGCAACATTATTTATTTTGCATTATATAATGCGTGTTCAAATCTTTATTCGAATGTGCCATGTGAGATATTATCGAAATGTGCAAAATGTGAAAAGCTAAAATATATGTATGCAGTTAATAGAATAGATATTCCATTCAAGTAGAGTAGGTAGTCTAACAATGAATCAGTAGTACACTATGAACCATTGCGATATTTCGTAAATGCGACTTGCATTTGAACCCCTCCTCGGCTCCCCAGTCGGCTGGCAAATCGCGCCAAGGATGGCCATGTAATATCACATTTCAAGAATTTTGGGTTGCAAAGTAAATTTTTTTCGTAAGTTTTACGCATTTTTTATGTTTTTGTTGTTATATTATAGCTATCATTTTTTTTCATTGTGCAATAGTTTTGTGCGCACATTTGGCTTTATTATTCTGTAAGCAACTTTTTTTCTGTTGTATTATTTTACCACATTATTTTGGAGATTATTATGGAAAAGGTTAGATGGTCTACAATAAATCATTTTGATGTAGAGAACAGAGACCCAATACCGTTTAATTTACTGGTAACGCTATTACAGTTACAAAACTGAATATCGAAATAGTGGAATATCGTAATCGGCTATACCGAAATAATTTCAGTATTGAAATAATTTCATATATTGTTATGGTTATCGAATACCGTTATAATACCGATATTAATTCCTATATTATTATAATGCCAAATTTTTAGAAGTAGTCACATGAATCAATTTTTTAGCGAAATCAATTTTATTAAAATGTAGTTTATAAGAATAGAATGTAACAGGGAATATATGTATCATAGAATAATAATTATAACATATAACATAGAAGTAATAGTTTATAATATATAATTGGAAAGTAGTTTATAATATAGAATATTAATTCTCTCTGTCCTAGATATCTTAATTATATAGTGGCAAAATTTTAGAAATGGTTGCAACGGACTACGAGGATGTCATTGACTAATTCTTTTGAAAGATTAGATCTTAGCGGGGATAGAATGAATTTTAAAGCGGAGAATAGACGTTCCACGCTGATCTGTGTAGCCGGAGCGGCTAAAATAATCTTTGAGAGCTCATACAGTTCTGGCATCGTCAATTTTTTGTTTTCCCAAAGCTCCAAAATGCTCTCTTTGTAGGTTTTTAGTGGCTATTCTGCATGGCGTAAGAGTTTGGACAATACTTTTAATCTTTGTCCATGCTACTTGTGGCATATGAAGCTCTTCATTGGCCTCGCAGATATCACGGGGCTCCAGTAACCGCTCCAACATATCAACTGTTGAGTTCCACCGAGTCACGCAATCAATTATTGGTTTACGTCGCTTCATTGCTTTTAGCATCCCTTTTAATGTCGGCGTTTGTAATTTTTTCACTAATTTACGTGCATTCTCAATTGTTTCTCCCAGAGCGCAACTTTTGAAAGTATCACCTATATGACCAACTGTAAAATGTGCGCCTCACAGCTTATTGATCGTACACTGTACTCAGGAGAACTTATTACTACGGGATGACCAGCGTAGTTTCTCACATTCATTTCTGTGTCAGAAGAACCTTCCGCATCAGCGGAAAATTCATACGGTTCTGACAAAACTATATCAGAAAAATCATCTGATTCATTCCATGTTATCATGTGTGCGTCCGCATCGTCTTCATCAGAATGTTCTGTAACATCCTCCTCTTGAATAATATCTACGAACTGCTGGCTACCCAACAATTTTATCATTTTTTGCATATTGGACGCGTTATCTGTTGTTATGGTGTAAAGTTGATGGATAGATATGCCATACATATTCAATATGCTCAATATTTCTAATTTAAGAGCTTCCGCTGTATGACGTTCTGTCATTTCCACAACGGCAAGAGTTTTTAACACTATTTTCTTGTTGTATATGTACTGTAAATTTACATCTAAAAAGGAGCGGTCCATGCATGTATAAGCGCAATCAACTTTTAAGCTTACTAATTTACTTTCAACTTCTTTGGCAATTATATCACGAATGGATCGTGTCCGCTCAGTGACAGCTTTTTTTATTTTTACGGCATTGACGATAATAATTTTGTTTGTGCCAGAACCTGGAGGTATCATCTTAATAATGTTCTTGAATGCTATATCATCCATCAGAGCAAAAGGTCGTCCGTGCACAGTGACAAGATCCACACATTCGTGTACGACTCGCTCTTCACGTACGCATTTCCTGGGGCTTGCATCTGATGGATCATCAAAACAGGAGGACGTATCTTGGGAAGACTCACGTTTGTATTGCTCATTTTTCATCATAACAGTAGTATATTTATTTCCGTGATATTTCGAGAGGTGGGATAGCAGGTTTGTCACATGGTTGCCCTGTACAAATCATATTTGTTAATATTTGATAACGAAACCTGCGGAGACAGATTTTGAGCAGAGTGCTATCAATTTTTGATTGCAGAAAGACAACAAATTGTGCACAGAGTTTGTATTATCTGATATTGTCAGAAATATGACAAAACTTGCTAGACATGCTATAATGTCAGCAGATTAGTACCAGAAATTGAACAAAGTCCTGCAAAACCTGATGGCAGATTGAGAATAAATTGAGAGAATCAGAACCTGATACAAGCAGATTCTGCTCGGTTTCTACCACCAATCTGCTGACATAGCCTGTTAGCAGGCTTTGTCGACAGATCCATAGACAAATGCGGACACAGATGTCTATAATTTCATAATCCAAATCTGATCAAGTTTGCTGTCAATTTGACCTCAAATTGTTAACATTTTGCTATCAGGGTAGTTATCATTCTGAGGTATACGATGTACGATAATTCGTTATGTACCCTTACTTTCACATCTATTTTACAAATTGAGCAGTTGGACGTTCTCGCGATTCTGTCATAAACAAAATAGCCGTGGACAGCATTCACTTTTGGTCGACCCATTACGTTCTGCTGATTCAGACAATTTCACTTAACCGTCGATATAAAAGACCTTTAAGACAATTACAACCAATTGAAGCAAAATGAACCAATTTGCCAAAATCAGACAAGTAAACGAAGGTTTATTAAACTTTAAGGTTACTCACGCAACTGATCAGATTTAGGAAAAAAAAGCATGCCTATGATCAAATACAATCCGACAAACTTCTTAATTCTGAACGTTCGCGTTTTTTCGAGTGGTAACGGGGAAGCAGTAAGCGTGAACCTTGAAGTTTGCCGAGAAATCCTGCCAAGTCCATCACTATACTGGATTAACTCATACAATTCGTACTTAGCCGGAGTCACCAGTTTTTAATTTGTATTATTTGTAAACACTATATATTTGTACACTAAACTGACACTTTTTTATCATTGTAAACACAAATTTTACAAAGTGACAAATTATCCCTCGAATCATAATAATTATTTTATTTTGAAAATCAAACAATTTTATATGAATTTGATCCTTACTTGAACTAATCCGAGACAATAAATAAATAGTATTATTATTTAATAACGCTAATATAAAACCGATATTATTCGAATCGATATATATCCATATCGGTATCATATTTTACCAGTATTTTATCATTTCGGTTTGCCATACCGGTATGAAAAAAAAACAGAAAGAATATCAATATTATTTCGGTACTTCGTTACCGGTATAGATTTCTGATTTAATAATGCTGATATCAATATAAAACTGGTATTATACCGGTATTTGAATCGATATATATCCATATCGGTATCATATTTTACCAGTATTTTATCATTTCGGTTTGCCATACCGGTATGAAAAAAAAACAGAAAGAGTATCAATATTATTTCGGTACTTCGTTACCGGTATAGGTCTCTGATAGTGAACAATGAACCATGGAACATAACCTTTTTTACGATAACCTTCAAAATAATAATTCATTGTGGTAATTATTTAGAATACGGACCTTCTCCCCTTTCATCTAAAATCTTAATATATTCATTCGCGTTTTTACTCAAAACGAAAGAATCTGGCAGAAAAACGCGGCGGTCGGCCTCGTGAATCCTTATCATCTCATAATTATCTATTTTCTAAATAAACATGTTAAAATATAACAAAACTAAAATAATTCCAACAATTCACAGTATATAACATTCGGTTCATTATTAAAAATAGCATGGTTCATTGTGTGTGTATGTACACACTCCTTATACACAATGAACCACTTCCCATTTTTTGAAATAATCGAAATTGTTTGGCTAAATTTAAATAACTTAAGAGTTATTGTTTACAGTATGCGCAGCCAACTAAAACATAAATTGTATGCCAAAACTCAGATCTTCAACTCAATAAATGAGAGAGGTATAAACCTCTGAAATTTACATGGTTCATTGTTGGATCACTTACCCTACTTATATTACAAGTTCGGAAGCTCAAACGAATTTTTCATTCTAAAAACAATGATTTATAGCATAAGAAAGCGCAGGTAATATACAAATATAAAAATATATTTATAAGCATATAATATTTATATTATCTGGAAATCATTCTAACATTACTAATCATCAATTAAGCATTACTTTGAATATTTCTTTCATTTTCGGATTATAGATTAAAAGCTCTAAAATAGTAATTAACTAGAATTATTATAATTATTGTAATTACACTAGTTTTATTATAATATATGTTTTATTAGCTATGTTGATGAACGCCACATTTAAACTTATTCTATAAAATCGCGAAATGAAATATTGTTTATTTTTTTCAAAATCAATAATTTTTGCCTAACATGATTGCATGCATATTATTTTGTCTTCTTTTTCTTTGTAAGAATATTTCACTTCGCGGCAAATTAATATTTGGTACAGGCACATGTAATGACGAATTAATTATGCATGCATAATCGCCTTTATATAGATTTTTCTTTTACTGAATCACATCTTAATCTGATATCTTATGTTCTTCGATTAAATTCTCAATCTAAACGATAATTAAATATGTTGACTTTTGCGTATTCTTTCCCGAATTTCCAATAAGCCGTATAAGAAAAATTTTTTATACGAGAAATTGACAAACGCATAAAACTATTAAAAATTGCACGAAAGAATGGAGACCACCAAGCATCAGGTCGCAATAAGTATTTCAACACAAAGTATTGCATGTTGAACAGATACCAGCTGTAAAACGGCATAGATGAAGTATCTGAAAATATATTATTATATATATAAATGATTTAAACCTGTTTGATCTGTTTCTCTACCAATGTAGATTAATTTTAATCTCGGCAAGTTTAACGGGCAAGCAACACTTATACCGATCGAAATAACATGCTTCGTCTGACAAAAAAATTTAGAAATATCGAAGAAGTAAGAAAATGACTTGATGAATTTACTGCAAGTAGAGATCAAGCTTTCTATTGAGCCGGAATCTATAACTTGCCTAAAAAGTGGAAAAAAGTAGTCAAAATAATAAGGATTATTTTCATGACTAAATTATGTCGATATGTTTTGACAATGGATACTAAATTTCATATTATAAAAAAAATAACGGATTATTTGTACATCTAAAACTTTGATATGAAAATCTCGAAAAAGAGACCGTATTATCAATATCAATACGCTTGAGCAATGAGCTGCATTAGTAAAATGCCATGTTATTGTTTAACTCTGCATAACTCGAAATATGTACAGCTGAATAAAATGTTAAATAATGAACAAAATACACTCAAATATACATAATATGCATGTAATAATAATATGCTCAAGTTTAAAGAAATCAAGAAGCAGATATAATTAAATGCTTATTTTCCAAATGTTTCGAAATGCTCGAAAATAGAAATACATTGTAACAAATGTCATTATAACAAGGCGTGTGTATTGGCATATTAGGGCCATTGTGAATAACGCTAATATGCCTACAAGGTCTATATTATCACCGTCTTATTGATGTATATATTATTTATCGTATGTAAATACATATATAATGATATGTACATAAATACATATGTAGTCTCTTACGTTCAAAATTAATACAGTTTACTTGAACTATATCGGCCAAAAAGAAAACCTAAAAAAATATTTCTAAAGAATCTAAATATGTTGAAAAAACTTATTTTAACTACGTTAAAAAATTGCGTTTTTACTAGTCATATATTGTAGTTTTTAATTTTTATCAGTTTCGTGTGAAGAGTTTACTCTTATTAAATTACCTATTTCGATGGAATGATTATTGTTGCGCGTAGTCGAAGAAGCCAAATGAAGTGTGAAGGCAGTGAACGCTAGTGGTTCAATACCAAAACTGATGGGCCAGAGACTCTGCAACAGCACAGTACCCATCTGATCAAAATGTTCGTTCTTATTTCTATTTGCTAGGCGAGGAACGAAAACCTCTTCTAGTATCCTTTGACAAAGAGCACGAGTTTCTTCCAGAGTACCCGCGCAGATATTGAATCTACAAACAAATTTTCTTAAATTATGTAAATGGATTTGAGTGCATATTTGATCAAGAATTTAAATATGTCTTTGATAAACTATTTCACTAAAATATTTAAACAGAACTGAAATAAAATTAGGCTCAGAGAACAAATCAAACAAATAATAATAAACACTACTACATGCAACAGAAGATAAATATGTGGGTACAAACTTGTCGTCCATCCCAAGCATACTACCAATGACCCTCCAGAGATGTATTACACCTTCCATTTCCTCAGGAGTGGCACTTATTCCTAGGTATTTCTCACTCACGATAATAAATCCGATAAATCCAAACTGGGCGAGTGCCATATCCAATTGCGTTGGTTTATGAACTCCAGCCTCGGTGCTTCTTCTGAACGCAATACAGTGCTTTCGACGTACAATTTTTAGGGATTTTAAAAATCTATAATTATTATATATGTATAATAAGCAAATGTGTACATGATACGTACACTGCGGAAATAAAAATTAAATTTTTTGTATTATGTTCTAATGCATAATAAGAATTTTTTTAAATAACTATATGTAATTAATATATGAATTATTTTACATATATTATTATATATATTAATTAATATTGAAAACAAATTAACACAATTATTTACAATGTATTTCAATTATAAGGGTAAAAAAGAGTTAATAAACAGCACAGTAACAGTGCGAAATAAAAAACAATGTAAAATAATTTTCAACTTCCTTATATCATTACAAGATGATCGGACGTTTCGACTTCTTTTAAGTCATCTTTAGTAATATCAATAACATTTTTTAATTTACATGTGCTCAGTATCCAAAGAAATTTCTTAGTATGTAATAAGTTAAGATCTTTTTTAATTATCATAATTGAGAAGTAAAATGTCTAACAAGATCTAATTTTCAAATTAGTTTTACACTCCTCAATCATGTTAATTAGAAAAAGTCTTACTCACTGCATACCGAAAAATTTCTGTGGATACTAATACTAAGCACATGTAAACAAAAAAATATCACTGAATAATGATATCGCTGAAGAAGACTTAAGTAAACCGAAACATTCGATCATTTTACAATGATGTAAGGAAGCGGTAAATATATTTGTTGTCAAATATATTATTAAAATATTATATGTTATTAAAATGGTAGTGTTCAAGAATCTTAAGTCTTTATCTCCCTGTTTCTTTAATCTCCCTGTTATCAATTTCAATTGTAAATTGGAATCTTCCACGAAAAGAATTAAATTGTTTAAATAATGTGTCAACAGCTGAAATGGAAAAAGCAGTGACAATGTTATCCACGTATTTAAAATAGAAAGAAATCGGCAGATCAACTCTCTCAAAAACCTAACTTTTCAAATCTTGCATAACAAGATATATATGACCGGTGATAAAGGGGACTTCATAAGTCCCAAATGTTTGCTTATAAGTACATTTATCAAAAATACAAAAAATATTATATATATAATATATAAAATCTATATATTATATAATATTGTATATAATATATAATATATATATACAATTGATATTAATAACATTATTAATAGTTATTGATTAATAACTATTAATGAAACTTGGATCCACTACTTCACTCCTGAGACGAAAAAACAGTCAAAACAATGGATTACATCCGTAGAAGCCTATTTTGCAGAGCAAGACGCCAACTATTATTTGAATAGATTGAAGAGATAGGAGCATCGCTGGGAAAAGTGTATCTACTTAAAAGGAAACTATGTTGAAAAATAAAACCGAATTTGACCGAAAAAATACTTATTTCTATGTTATATATAGTTATATTTTCTATGTTAGGCTCAACTTTTCAATACTTTTTAATGCTACTTTCATTCTTAAGATTTTAGGTACTGTTTCTTTCGCAGTATTTTTTAAATATAATAATATTTTTGTTTTCTTTTATTTGAATCTTACTCATTTGGTTTGCCGTTGGGATCCTTTTCATGCCATACACATGTATGAAGCACCGTCTCTGCATATCTGCGATACGCCAAACAAGGAGTACCGCTTTTTTTGGTAAACATAACTACATCCAATATGGTTGAAATAGCTAGAAGGGACACAAGGCCGCAAAGTTTTGCAATCATCATGGAGAACAAATTATTATGAAAGGTTTGCTGTCCCAACCGAAATTTCTTCTCATCATAAAAGGGCGGTATTTCTGGTTTCATGTTGTTGAAGTCCATTATATTTTTAGGGCCTTCGTTGAGAATAATTTGCAGTCGTTTTTCCACTTCATCTGAAAATTCGAATTTTTAAATAAAATTGTAAACAATTTAGAAAATTCGCTTTTCAGAATTTTATTTATGTAATGTAATAATATAACATCTTTAGCAGATAAGCTCAAATTATTTATTTTACATCCTTAATATTTATTTTTTTAATTTAATATGTCCTTTTTGTAGATAGAAATTATTTAGATTACTATTATTTATTCATTTAGAATGTTTATTTTTTCTTAAAGAATGTTTGAAAAGGATACCTTGATGAATTATTTAAAAAAAATATCTTTAAAGTATTCTTTCTAAAGATTAAAATCATATTTTGTTGCTTCGAATTTTTATGTTAATTTTTCTTTTTATCGTCAACTCCATATTTTTTCGACTAAAATGATGCTCTAAAAGGAATCTTTGCTCAAATCACCCATTGTGCAGCACAATTGGGAATTTCCAAAACCATATATGCTTCGCACAGAACAAGAGGACACATGTAATGCTGTCGTGCGAGCAATCGTAAGAACTGATCGTACATGTTTCGCATGTATAAATGCCCAAATCAACGTTAACATCTGTGCGTGCGAACGTGAATGAAATTTGGAAAATTTCGTGAGTTTTAACAATTTCACATAATATATGTCCTATGTAATTTATATTGACAAGGCGTTCACATAACAATTGATAATAATATGAGCTAATCGACCTATTGATGTGACAAAAATAATTAATGAGTTCATAATCGTAATTGTATTTTATACTAATAATTAAAAATATTTAATATTAATAACATTATCATTTATATGTATATGTAGAGTATAAAGCGGGATAATTTAAATAAATAGATTACAAAAATTTTTAAATTGTATAAAAGACTGAGATCGCACAGTGTATTCAATCAAATATACAAAACATACAAGACACTATTGATGCACATTACGTACGTCAGAATACGTGAGAAGAATTAAATGAAGGATCGTATCACTGCAATGATCATTTTGTGGTATATTGTTTTTAATTATGATCGACTTTATTTGGTCACAATACCCTCGAGATGACCAATATTTATTTTCAAAATATTTTATATATACATATATATATAATAAATAATTTTTATTTACGTATTTGGATCATAACGATTAATATAGTTACGCACTTTTTACCTTTGTTTGTCGGTTTTATTGAAACAGTATATATTAATAAGGCATTGATAAAGGCAAGGATTCAAAAAAGACTTGAAATTAAAAAAAAATACAATAAAACTTTCTAATATGAAAACATGAAATTAAAAGGATATTCTAAAAACGACGAACAAATCGAGTATTTGCAAATATTTAGCTAATACAATTCGCGAACTGTTTTTCAGTAAATACGCATAATGGGAAACAATGTGCTATTACAAGCAAGATGCATTTTAATATTTTAAAATATTGAAATAGGAAACTATCTATTTAACCATGTTTTATTCGATAAAATGCAAGCAAATTAAGTTAAAAGTTTGTTCTCTACGAGCAGTTGATGAGAACTGGACTTTGAGGAGATTGAATTGAGAGGGATCTATGTATAAATAAAAGAAGTGACATTTTTTAAATAATAGCCAATAACACGTCGTGATCTGATATTTAAAAATTAACTAATGAAGTTTTTAAAAAGAAAGAAAGAGTGAATACATATAATGATCTGTTTGGATAATAACTGAGATAATAATATTTAGATAATGATAGTTGAGGATTAATATATGATATAATGATCTGTTTAGATACGGTTGTAGATAATAGTAGGATAATAACTAATTGTAGATAAAAAATCTAGAAAAGAATCTTATTTAAAAAAGGATAAATAAATCATAGATTAAGAATTGTAAACAGATAGCAGAATCAAGATTTATTATAGGGTGTAGTGTACTGTGTATATTGGTTTAATTACAATTGTTTGTAAAGAAACATGTTTGCAAAAAAATTAAAACGAGTTGCGGCATAATAATGCGCATGCAAGAGAGATGCTAAAGACATTAGAAATAAATAGAGACAAAGAGATTATGTTAAGGAATACCATTTAAGATGTACCATTATATTATTTTTTTTTTAAAGAATTTTTTTTTAAATAGATACGGCGCTCAAGTGTGCTTTTTTCTTATTCTAAACATTCGAAGCATTCCCAGTGAGAAATGACAATGGAATCGATGTCGAATCGATGTCGATTCGACATTGATTCCATTGTTATTTCTCACTGAGTTAAAGGATTTAATCTCAGCAGAATACAAATCATTATGACTTCAAATAATGATGTTAAAATGACTTTAAAATGATCACTAAAAGTTACTTTTCAATCATTCACGGTTCATTTTAATGTCATTATTTTGATGTTACCGTGACTTGTTAATTTTGCTTAGGAAGTGGTCTAAGACTGAACTACTTCTTAATACATTAGTTAAATAAAAATCTTTTAAAATATTATTTAAAGTATTTATCTATTAAACTTGCATAATACCTTATTTTATGAAAAGATTGCAACGTAAGATTTATACAGTATTTTTACTTGATATATTTTTAAAGTCAATTATTTTAATTTCTTTTTAACATGGAATTAAATATACAATAAACTTTATACATATACAATAACAATAATCTTTATTAAAGGTACCCTGTAACTTTCAAATAATTCCTACTGATCTCAAATAATAAGTTTTAATTAAAAAGTGTTATGTAGACTTTTTTTTATAGATTAATTAGACAAATTAGAGCTTATTAATTGATGTCTTTATGGAAGTTTCAAAAAGTGAAAATTTGATGATAAAAAGTTGTTTAATCGGTCAGTTCTTACATTAATGCTATTTCTTCTAATACGGTAAATACTGCAGCAAGAAGTATAAATGGCAAATCTAAGTCGAGGTCACAACATTCTCTTCACATTTTCTTTAGACATATTTATTTTCTCATTAGTGCTGAATAACAATAAAAAAGAAAATTTAAACTTTTTTCACTATCTCTGCTTTATATTATCAATATATTTTTATTATTATTATTATTATAAGATTTCTTTTACTTATATAATTAAATTTAATATTATTACTTTTTACATTATTTATGCAAAGTTTTATATTTTCACATATTTTATTATTATATTTTTACAATTAGCATTATTATTTACAATAATTGTATCCACAATCTTCTTGTTACAATATTTACCCATAATTTCTGTATTTGCGCATATGTTTTATTATTACTATCATTATTACTTAATTTATATTAATTGTAAAAGGATTCAGGCTTTTGTAAGCAACATTATTGCTTATATCTCATCTTTTTTGTAAGATGATGCTTTCTAATACTTTATTTTTATATAAAACGATTCTTATTTCTGGTTCAAAATTATTATATTTGGAAAATTCTATAAATAATTATATTAATAGTATGTATTTTTTGAAATCTCCCGATTATATTATTTAATTAACTTTTGATCACAAATCATAAAAATTTATACCATCTTTCTGATTATTTTTTTACAGTTAATAATACAAATTATGCATTGTTCAAATAAAAGTATAACTTTTAAAATTTTATTAACATTTTGAGAATCTAATTATTATTGATAAGAAACTTTCATTAATATATAAATGTAATATTGTCGCCGCGTGCCATCACTTAACATTCTTCTTTAATATGTTTCGAGATAGAAATATTATATAATGTATACCTCAATATATGAAAGCTCTATAGACATTGTAAATACCTATGATTTCTAAACATTGTGAAATTCTCGTATGTTTCATTGAGAGCGTGTCCTTGAAGAAGTACGTATGCTGTTACCAGTGTTGGGTAGTATCTCTATACATGTATCTAGATACTTGCATAAAGATACATTTTGTGTATCTAACCTGTATCTGAGGTACATTCAAATTCGAGTATTTGTATCTGTATCTAGATAAAAAAACACAGCATCTGAACTGATTTTTTTCAAATGCATTTTTCAGATACATTTCCTCAGCGTAGTCACATCCAGTAGTTCCATTTTGTGTATGATTGTTGATTGATCCCATTCCGCAGAAAAAAAGCAGCTTTGCTGTTGCAAAATTCTATAACATGATTAGTCTTTCCCTTAGTTCCTCACTGAATCTAAATACAAAATCAGTCATGTTAAAGAATTTTACAGTTACACAACTGCTTTGTCTGCTGAATGCAATCAGTGATCTTAGATTGTGGAATTCCTAACGCATGTATAGTTAAGCTGGAAACACAATGTTTGAAACATTTTTAGTTTATAAAACTATGATCAATAATGATGAATAATATCGTCTTATAATTCTTATTCTAAATCGTTTTACGATAATTATAAATTTTTTCAATTATCTAATGTAACAAAAATGAATGAATATGTGATTCATTTAATAATTAATACATTTTTTACACATTACCATTATTACAATAAAATTAATGTAAGAGTATTTAAAATGTATCTGAAAATACTTTCAAAGTATCTGATATCTGTACATATATACATTTTAATATGTGTATCTATATCTGTATTTAGATAAATGTAACTATATCTGTATCTAGATAGATTTTAAGAGTATTTTACCCATCACTAGCTGTTACTTGTAATATGCACAATATACTGTATACTGCATATTTTACTATAATATTTTTATATGTATATGTATACATTGCTCTTTAATTATATTTTATTATATTTATTTACATATATTTTGCATTTCTTACAGTTTTCTAATGTCTGTCTTATATATAAATGTATTCCAGTATATGTATATATAGCCAAAATTTATTTAGTGTAATACATTATTTTAGAGTTTCTTATAGTATTGAAAATACTTAATATTATTTTTAGTATTATACTTATTTAGTATTATACTTTAAGTGCAAATATGTATGAAAATTTACTTTTTTTAAGTAATAATTATAAGCGAAATTGAAAATGAATAAGAATAAATAAAATAAAAAAAAGTATTCTATTTCGTTTAAAAGTAACTCGTTACCATTATGCCAATATTACTTAAAATACCATATTACTTAAAAAGTAATTATTCATTTACATTATTTTTTATTATTTTTCTTATTCTTATTATTTTATATTATATTTTTGTAATTTTGTTGTTGTACTAAGATAAAATTAAACAAAAAATTACTTTTTTAGCATTGTTTGTCAAAATATTAATAAAAGCAGTAAAATTTTATACATATTTTAAATTCACAAAATAATAAAATATTAAAGAAAACTTTTGATACGTCAAATGCAAATTAATAAATGTTTATATTTATTAAATTTATAAATACAATCAAATGTATATTTTTATATAGTTTATTTTATGCTTACAAATTTTAATATAATAAAAAAATTATTATCTGGATCATGAAATATAAATTTAATTTACAGTATTTTTATTCAATTTTTTTTAGAAACTTGTGTAAGTTTAATTTAATGTCAACACTATTTGATTAAAAAATTTCAATTTTAAAAATTGTTGGAACTTTTTTTTTAAAATTTAGTTAATGTTGTTTACCAGTCAAAATAAAAAATCTTTATAATTATCATTATTTACGGATGGGAAACTTTTAACTTGGCAGCTTTTTTAGATAGTTTTCAGCATAGAAAAACTTTATTAATCAGTTTACTGTAATGATTCATATATGAGTGAAAATAAAATATTACAACCGAGGAGGTACTCACTTACGAAAGTGATTTCTTATTTCTTGTATTTCAACGTGATTTCAAAGTGATTCCATATGTTTTCCGAAAGAAAGTCGAGACGCGCAACCGAGCATACGACGATGCTTTTTTGTTTGATTTCAAATGATTTCTTGATTTTAATGAGGAATGCTTGACTGCCTCATTTACTATATTTCTCGTTGATTTCGTAAGTGAGTAACCTCTCGGTCACAACAACAACTTTATATATTTTTTGGCCGCTATATTGGATCTACTATTTTGAATTTTGGAATTTTGACTCAAGATTTATCACTAATGATCGGAAAAAGCTCTTATAGATAAACTTCCAGAATACGAAATTATTCGCTTTTACTAGTTTTGATACAAAAAAACATTAATTTTAGGTTCTATTTATCAATGAACTTATTAATGTTAAGATCTATAATATTAAGATACATTGTACAATAGAAAAAAATTTATTTAAAAAATAAATTCATTTATATTATACATATAATGATATCTAAATTAAAACACCAGACAAGTTAATTTAAATTAACAGATCTGATTAACTAGTTTATATTACAATTGAGTGAAAGAAAACTACATCTCTTTCGTGCAAAATACTGACCTGTCAGGGCACTATTATTCGAAAAATCGTTAATCATTTTGGTCATTTTACGTCCACATCAGAGCACTGCGTTATAAATAAATAACAATGATCCACCTGTAAAGGCAAGCAATTTGATTCGAAGGAAATGACAGCACTGACGAACAAAACTAGTCAAGATGATATTTAAAGCGTGGTCCTGCGTGTGAGATGTATATACCGCGAATGTTTCAACCGCACTGACTGTATTCTGGTTTACTACAGGAACTTGTTCGCACATCTTCTGGAGAAAGGAGCCCCTTCCACATCTTACTTTTTCCTTTCCAAATCGGAACATCGGCGATACTTTTCTACTTGAGCAAGCCATAGTTTTGCAACGGAAGTAGTATTCCCTATTATTCCAAAAAGAGATGCGTTGGATTTTCTTTTCGTTAATCATCTTTTTCTCTTTTTCTGTTTCCTCCTTCTTGTCTCTTTCTCTTTTTAACTCTCTGAATCATCGCTCTGATATCTTTAATTTTTAAAATTATATTTTTAACTATCGCAATTTACATATTTTAAATCACATGATAAAATTCACTTGTAACGTAAGTTTAGTTTGTCAAAGTTTTGAAAGTTACATGTTAAAGTTCCGTGGCGTGCTGCATGAGGAAAAGGAAAATAAAATAGAAAAGATGATTAAGACTGCGCAACAGTGTTCTTCTAATCATTTATTTTAACACACTCGTTATAGCGCGACGTGCAAATGCAACATTATTTGTTTTTGCGTTATATAATGCGTGTCCAAATCTATTTTCGAATGCGCAAAGTAAGAGCGACGCGTGATATCACGTCGCTTTCACATTGAGAAACGAAAGATCTTCCTGATCGAATGTAACAGTCGCCCGGATGCACTCGCGAATTGTTCCTAATTTCGTGACATTTTCATCACTTTCAATTCCTCGAAGGGAAGACGATTGCATCTTTACACTTGCGTCCACCGCACTAACGACGCTCGCGCAAATTATACTATTTGTCACCGGAAAAGCCCGCGTCACTGTTTCAAATTGATCAGTGGCAGATGGTCGACAAAACTGACTTTGCTTCATGAGAATGTACGATGCGTCTAGCTGGTGAGAGTCAATTGCACGCCTCGTTTGGCATAGACTGGAAAGGGAAAGTCCTGCTTTGCTTGGTTCTTCTCAATGTGGAATATTTTTACGCAGCACGAAGCTCCAAAATAGTCTGTCACGATAGTGATAGATTGCGGTCAAAGAGCACTCTATAATCAGCTTTAACCTATTCTGTCCTCGTATTTATTTGTCTAATGAACAATAAAAATAGAACAGATACAGTAGTACTATTGGCATCGCGCTCCGCTATAGCTATAATAAAGTAAAATAAAATGAGCGCGAGCGTGGTGTAGATACATCGTTCTGCTACACTAGAGATCTCGGCACTTTGATCCCAGGCAGAATCGAAAATTTTCGTACGGTCGTAGTTTCTCTCGGAAGGTAATGACAAACCACCGAGTGGTATACTTGCCCAGGCAACCTTTCCACATAAAATTGCCATTTTCGGAATCGACATTTAAACTATAAGTAATCAACGTGCACGCACAGTTTATGAGAGAAAGACGTCTACGCGTTGGTGACAACGAATGGCACTTGAAAAAAAAAACAAATAAAATAAAAGCACAAGTACATTGAAGAAAAGATTGGTTACTGCAGCAATTTAGATGGTAAAATATGACATAGCATTTTTAATTGGCAGTAGTAGCCAATTTTTGAATAAAATCAATTAGTCAAATTCAAATCGAATTTTTACCAAAAACTTTATTGATTTATAAAATCCTACGTCATACTAGTTTTTAGCGTTTAGGAAAAGTGTATAAAGTTGCAAGTTGATCAATATATACTCACGATATACTCACGCGTTTAAAGTTTTACATTCAGTTGTTGTACCTATTACGGCACGGTTCGGGATCCACAAGGAACTTTGGGAGAGAGCCAATTATAGTCTTAGTAGTTTTAGATAAAATATAACGTTCACTTTATTCTCACTAAACACAAGTGGTTTTCATTTAGAGTTCACAAATCCACTTAACGATATTCGCATCGCGGTAGGTACTTTACAATTCATTAAGTCGACGGGTAGAATAACGCGACGTATTTTGTTCAAATTCTGACCCCATCCGCGGTCGCACTTATATCCATGATTTTCTGGTCATTCTTGAGCGTCCGACCCTGTCCCGTCAGCGTTCCCCTTATCCAGGAGCGGCGATCTGGAACGGTGGAGGACTCCATACATGTGAATTTGACATGTGTGGAATTTCCACACGTCGAGCTAGAGCTAATCTAAATTTTTAACGAGTAAAGATACATTTTTACGAGCTGCTCAAAATCCACCGTTTCTGCGATTCCTGAATATGTACCTTAATTTATTGAATTTTTTTATTGGCGATATCTCAATAAACAATTCTACGTGGTATAATTGGCTCTTGATGGAATCCTCTTTTCCTCTAGGCGACCAATCAAATGTTGATTCATTTTTTATTTGTTATTGTATATTGTAAGTGTAGATCTATAAATATTTCCATTCCTCTCGAAGTAGGATTCCTTCGCTCGACCCTTTTTTTTGCATGCGCTCTCCGGAATCTGGAATCCTCCACACATACAAAAAATTTACTTCGCCCGCACCGCCCTTGCGCTTATCGGTCGGGGACAGCGCCCGCGCAATCGCTTGAGTCTGCATTTCTTTTAGTTTATAAATTTATTCTCGCTCAGGGTCTTCTTCTATATTAATTATATTTAATAAATTTGTTTCGACAATCGTAATCGTTTATATTAATTTCTTCACGCGTTCGTGACTCAATTGTCACTTGTGCAATTAGCACTCGTGATACAGTTTACATTACGAAAACATAACGTCCAAACAATAACTGTTACCAAATTGATCGTTCGAGTTGTACAGTTAGAAAACTCGATGAATATAATAGAGAAACGAGAAACACTCTTCTTCTAAAAAACACTCTTCTTCACCTGCGAGACTTTGAATTAAAGATTCTGTTTTATAGATATACGTCCGTCTATCGGCGTTCTCGACGCGCTCAACTATAATTGAAACTTTTCTACTTTTCGCTGGATCGATTTATGACTTTACAGAAACATTCTTAAGATATTAAACTTTAAAAATATTAAACTTTAAAAATAGTAAACAAAAATTCGATCTTTTTTTACCTTTCTAGGTAGAATCTATATGCCCCCTTAATCTTCTCTGGTTTTATTCTCTTTCCTTTTTTGAATAATTTTCTTCATTCAGTCCTATAACGTAATAAATATTTTTTTAGGTAAAAATATCGATTAGGGGACACCAAGCTCCAATAAAAATTCAAGGATTTATTGGAAGTACATGTTAAATCAAAATTATCGAAAATTTCTATCCAATTTACATATTCTGCAGAAAAATTCATTTAAACAGGTACTGCAAATTAATAACCCAAAATAATTATATAATTTTCATATAAATGTAATGATTAGCAATAAGAGTACAGCGGTAAGTGATGCACAAATTACGGTTATTTAATGAAATTTAAAACAGACCTGTCTAATTTCCCGGAATCGAAACGCAAGATCATCGATGCAAAAAGATTTAATATAGGTCAAATTTTGGGGATTGTAAACTATTGATAGACACGTGTGTCTGAGCGACGCGTATCAACACTTCAAAATCTCCGAAATCTTACTCATCCCTACACTGAAAAAAAGATTGGCTGCTGCAGTAAATTAAATGGTAAAATATGGCATAGTATTTTTAATTGACTGCAGCAGCCAATTTTTGGTTGCTTTAGCCTATCTGCAATGTCAGTATAGGATTTCGATAGACTAACACAACCAAAAATTGACTGCTGCAGCCAATTAAAAATGCTATGCCATATTTTACCATCTAATTTGCTGTAGCAGCCAATCTTTTTTTTCAGTGTACTGAACTTTTTTTTTCTATTGATAACTTTACATTTTTGCTTCGGAGCTAAAGTTGACAGTATTAAACGAGGAATATTTTAAGACCGTAAATGAAGATTATACAAGGACCGTAAATGACGATTATATAAGAAGAGAATAAAGAATTTAGTGGCCAAGCTAAATCTTAAATGCTTAGATAATTCGGAATAAAGTTGATAGATCTGATTTGAAAAAATACAAATTAAAACGATCCGATATTTCAGTTTTACTTCAAGCCATTCTTAGCGATGTTGTATAAAATATACATATAGTAGTATATAATAATCTCACAGCTTTTCGAACATTGAACTAAAGATGAAGTGAAATAAATTTGATTGGCTCACCGTGACAGTTATAATCCTCAAGTTTTTTTAACTTGTGGTGAATTAATAAAATTTATTTCATTCGACTTTGAAACTTCGTGTGTGAATGAAATTATCTATTTCTAGACCATCCAATCTTGAAGTTTTCTTCAATGTTTGTTCGGAAAATGTGAGATTACAAAAATAAGCTAAGATTCCATTTTCCAAACAATGTGTATTTTTATATATCTACACATATTCTCTACTCAAGTCACCCAGAGAATACATTTGATACGCAATTTTTCTCGACTCAAAACAGGAATCAATTGATGTAAATCTCAAAGTTTATTTTATTAAAACGTAGGTATATGTACGTTGCGTACATGTATCAAATTTTCCCCGAGGCTATTATTGAATAAAAGCAAAAAGAGTATTCAAGTTCTGTCCCAAGACTAGTAAGTTTCATCTGGATACCTCAGCAAAAACAACACTAAATAAATAAGAATAGGCCTAAATCTAGCAAGTCTTCTGCTTATCTTTTTATATTAAATATTCGGGCATCTCTACAAATTATTTTCATTTATTTTGGATTTTGCATCCTATTAAACTACTATTGAATTTCTAATCTCTTTTAAATGAGGCTGAGTAATCTTGAATAGTTTACCGCGACTATATTGAATCATGTCATAAGCGAGAAATGACATTAAAATTTCTTAAATGCCATTTGTAAATAAAGAAAATATGGATAAAATAAAATAACGAGATTGCTTTACTTGTAAAAATGGACGAAAGTTATCCTTATCTGCTCTGACAGTTAATAAATTGTCATAAGGAGTAATAAAAAGACACGTAAAGTGTGTTTATTCAATGCATATGCATAGCCTATTTTCTTTTCACGTGCATTCTACGACAATTTATTGACTGTCACGGCAGATCAGAATAGCTTTTTTAATCCATTTTTATACAAGTGTTTTAAAGCAATCTGATTATTTTGTTTTATTCACATTCTCTTTATTTACAAATGACATGCAAGAAACTTTAAAGTGTTATTTCTCGCTTATGACATCAATAAACATACGCGGCGACTACTCAGGAACCTTAAGAGCCGGTTTCACCAACGCCGATTAAGCTTAATCGTGATTAACTGTCAACCGTAATTTGTCAATTCTACT